CCAACACTGCCATATTGGAGACTCTTTCAGGGTCAGGGGAATGAGACCCGTTATTGTTACTGTTCTTGGCATAAGTCATGGGTAGCTTGCCAAGCTCTGCTGTGTGGGTGGAATACTCTTGGTAGCTTGCCCGGCTCTCCAAGAGGCAAATATATATATATATATATATATATATATATATATATATTTGGGCTGGAGTGATAGCACAGCAGGTAGAGAGTTTGCCTTGCATGTAGCCAACATGGCCAACCCGAGTTCAATTCCTCTGTCCCTCTCGAAGAGCCCGGCAAGCTACCAAGAGTATCTTGCCTGCATGGCAAAGCCTGGCAAGCTCCCTGTGACATATTCGATATGCCAAACACAATAACAAGTCTCACAATGGAGATGTTACTGGGTCTGCTCAGGCAAATCAATGAACAACAGGAGGACAGTGCTACAGTGCTATATATATATATATATACATATATATATTTTAAATATATGTATGTATATATATTTAAATATATGTATGTATATATATATTTTATCACTGTCCTCCTGTCCTCCTGTTGTTCATCGATTTCCTCGAGCAGGCACCAGTAATGTCTCCTTCATCCTAGGCCTGAGATTTTAGAAAGTGACAAATTTGAGGCTCTTTCAGGGTCAGAAGAATGAGACCCATCATTGTTGCTGGGTTTTGTCATATCGAATTCACCATGGGAAGTTTGCCAGACTCTGCTATGTGGGCAGGATACTCTTGGTAGCCTGCTGGGTTCTCCAAGAGTAAGTACTCCATAATAAGATGTTGCACGGTTGCACGCTTCTGGGAGCTGGGTTTTATAGATACTCTGAGCAGAGTAGTACATATATAATCAAATATATGATACTTGAGATCAGGTCCTCACTGCATGAGGGAAGAAGGAACAAACACATGCAGCTGCTGATGTCAGGCAGGTAACGAATGCTAATGAACTGGTTCCAGAGGCCAGTGCACATAAGTAACACATGCGGTTGGAGTAAAGCAATGGAGTATGTGTGTGGTAGGAATAGAGCAAAATAACTTGATTAATAAAATATAAATCTCCTAATCTTTAGCCATTGGTAAAAACAAACAAACTACTGTTGGCAAACACTCCGTGGGTTAAGCGGGTGGGGGAAGGATGCTGGGGACTGAGCCCGGGTGAGTCACGTACAAGGCAAGCGTCCTTCCTGCTGTACAATCTCTCCAGCCCTGAGCACTTGCCTGAACCTGACAGCAGGAAGAGTGCTATTGGACCTTATTATAAATGAGAGATCGTATTTACTCTCAAAAACATGGGCTGCAATAGGACAGGACTCAAAATTCCAGAGGGCTTAGCAAATCTGCCATCAGAAACCATGAAGGAACCAAGGGCCCCTGGGGCAAAGAATATACATATATATAAAATATATATATATATTTCCCTCTATGATTTGTTTCCTACTGTCTGAACTCCATCAAATAAGGTGTGGTAATTTTGGAAAATGCGTAGGGAGTGTCTTATGATATGTCCAGGAATATGTTCGCTCATATCACTCATATGTGAGGTTCAGTCAGAGCATGTGGAAAGCGGCTTGGAGCGTGGTGGCAGTTGGGTAGTAGAGGTTGGCTGCTGGGGCTGGGTCCCTTGGGGCAAGGAGGGCTCTCACCTGCCCCCCTCTGGGGCTCCCCGAATGAAAATAACCTGGTGCAGAGTCTGATGGCATGGTTGTGGGAGCCTCATTTTATGCTCCCTTCCGGGAGAAGCAACCATGAATTGTGGAGGGTGGCCGATGAGATTTTCTGGTGCTGGAAGGAGGTGGTTTATAGGTGTGACCTCTGGGTCACTGAAAACTGGGGAAAGCAGGCAGATGATCTCTGCTCCCGGGTCCCATTGAGCCCAGAGTCCAAGATCACAAAGTTCCACATTACCTGGGTTCCGTGGGACTTCACTTGTATGTGAGGCTCAGCCCGAGCATATGGAAAGCCAAGTTAGTTTATGTCAAGCTTCCCTCCACCCCACCTCCACCACCAGTCAGTCACTTTGGTGGTTACCAAGGGAGAGTTTGGAGCAACTGATGGTCTTCTTTTGTTATTCATGCATGTCCTTTGTTCTAGGGATGGAGTCTCTCCTCCAAGGAGATCCAGCTACTTCTCTTATCTAGAAACCTCCCACATTTAGCCTGGAATACTGCATCTCAATGGTTTTCTGGGCTCCTCAGATGTGTCCTTTGGGTCAAAAGTATCCATTCTTTCAGGCTCAGTTAGGTTTCAGACACTGTTTTCTCCAAAGACCTTATCAGGACCCCTCCTCTCCCCACATCTGTCTTCTTGCCTACGACAAACATCTCCCCTTATAAATTTCAGCCCTTTAAATATTTTTAATTTGTTTGTTTTATATTTTCTCCTGTTTTTAACCATGGGTTGGGCTGGAGCGATAGCACAGCGGGTAGGGCATTTGCCTTGCACGCAGCCAACATGACCGACCCGAGATTGATTCCTCCGCCCCTCTGGGAGAGCCTGGCAAGCTACCGAGGGTATCTAGCCCACATGGCAAAGCCTGACAAGCTCCCTGTGACGTAATCGATATGCCAAACACAGTAACAAGAAGTCTCACAATTTGTTGTGAGATGTTACTGGTGCCCGCTCGTGCAAATCGATGAACAATGGGAGGACAGTGCTACAGTGCTTTAATCATGGGTTATTCTTGGCTCTGCACTCAGGAATCAAACCCAGGTTGACCACATGCAAGGCCAGCAGCCTATCTGCTCTACTTCCTCTCTGGTCCCTTCCCCTTTACATCTTTAAGGGGTTGGCCTTTATATTTTCCTCTTATGATTCTTTAATAACAAGAAAAATCTCTTATAAGAAGATAAAGTCAGGTCCTGGCTCACAGATCCTCATACTGTCAAAGACACCTGAAGCACTCCAAGAAAGCTATGATGTGTCCCATACTCCTGAAAGAACCCAACAGAGGCTGCAACATGCTGGTAACTTGTATTTCCATCTGCTTCTTTCCAACTTAATTTGACCTTGGGCACAATATTTAGACATGAATTAAACTTTGTAGACCTGAGCTCCTACTGCATACAGAGGTCCAAGTATTTAGAATAGAGCCCCAGGAGCTAAAACACAGGCTGGATAAAAGCTGTTAACTGCCTCAAGACACAGCTTCCCTATTTTCTTCTTGCATAAATGTCATTGCTGGTCACACAAGCTTGCTCCCCTCTGAAGCTGACCATTGATGGAACCCAAATATTTTTTTTCTTACCATGCCAAATGGACTTAGCATTTTTATGTAAATAGCTGCTCTCTGATTCATTAAGCCCCATTGCCCCTGACATTTTCTTTTCTGACCCCATCAGCCATAGACTTGTGAAACATGAATAAATAAGGAGATCAAAGAAAGACAATAAAAGGGTTACAATCAAGAAGTGTACTGTGACTGTGATAAACAAGAAAATTTGGAAATGGGTGACTGAACACCCAAGGATATCCTGTCAACAATCATGGCTACAACATTAGTTCAAAGCCTGACAAGAGCTTAGCACCATTTCAAGGTGTCACATGGAGATACACAGGAAATGACAATCATAACCACTACCTAAGGAACACTAAAGGTTTTATAGACAATAGAGCACAATTAGATACATGCAGGTAGGATGTTTGCCCTGCACGCAGCTGATTGGGTTCTATCTCTGGCATCCCAGATGGTCCCCCGAGCACTGCTAGGAGTGATTCTTGAATGCAGAGCCAGGAGTAACCCCTGAGCATCTTTAGGTGTGACCCAAAAAGCCAAAAAAATAAATAAATACTTGTATTTATGTAAACCTGTCTCTTACTTTCCTCTCTACTTATTCATTATTTCTCTTATTGTACCTGTTAATACAATATTTAGTCTAATCATTTGTATTCTCGGCTGGAGCGATAGCACAGCGGTAGGGCGTTCGCCTTACAAGCGGCCAACATGGCCGACCCGAGTTCGATTCCTCCGCCCCTCTCGGAGAGCCCGGCAAGCTACCGAGAGTATTCGATATGCCAGACACAGTAACAACAAAGTCTCCAATGGAGACGTTACTGGGCCCGCTCGAGCAAATCAACGATCAACGGGAGGGCCTTTACCTTTACCTTTACCTTATTTGTATTCTTATTGGTTATGAATCCCTAGAGATGATATTTGTCTGGTTGTCAATAGTAGGTCTCCTCCAATGATTTATGGTTTCCAACTCCACCCTCACCTGCTAGAAATTCTGCCATATGAGGAATCATGCATATCTTATTCACCATCATTTCTATGGACTAGCAACATGTAACTAGTAGACACTCAAATCATCTGTGCATAACTAAAAAAATTAAAATAAATTAAAAAGCCATTAATAGCAATATAGAGAGATTAGTAACTTTGTCTTTTGAATGCTGATTATTAGCTCAACAGCAAAAAATTAAGTGTAGACCTGGAGCAAAGGCATAAGCAAAATTTTCAAAGATTTAAGAGGAAGAAAAGTCTCTACCCCCTGGGAATCTTCCTGGAAACTGACTACAGATGCATTAATCCTCACAACAGATCAGAAGAACTTATTAATTAACAATAGATTTGCAAATGGTTTGGTTTGCAGCATGATCGTGGATAAGTAGTTGATACTAGATTGTTGAAAGTCCTAAAAATGAGTGGCCAGCAAAACAAACATGAAAAATCAAAAATGATTCAGATTTATTAAGATGGAAAGTTTTGGGGTCAGAGAGATAATAGAGTGGGTAAGGCACTAGCCTCTAATATTAGCAGCTGACCCAGGTTTGATCCCCAGCACCACAAAGTACACCCCATCCTCATCAGGAGTGTTCCTGAGAACAGAGACCAAAGTAAACATTCAGCACAGTTCATTATGGCACCCTCCGCACTAATTAAAATAAAGCGGAAAGTTTTGCTTTTTACATTTTTTGGTTTTTCTGTAATCAACAACAAGCACCTTCCCTGCAGCTACATCAGTGATATTGGGCCTGAGCAAGCCAGGGGAGTATGCACTTAGAGGGAATAAACAAAGGACATGAGCAGGCCCAGTACCACGGTGGTGGATGTCACCTTCCCTGCACTGTTTGAGTATTTCTTGTCTACGTCATCCAGGATCGAGAGCACAGCCTCCATGGTCTCCTCACAGGTGGCTTCAATCTGCTCTTGTGGCAGAACAAAGCCATGTGTTCCATTATCCCTGAGCTCGAAAGTATATGAGAAGGGGATCCCAATGTCCAGAGCCCAGTCTCTTGAAGATCCAGATGTGGCATCTACAAATGGAAACGAAGGTAGAATTTGAAATTAGATTGTGACAGGACAGATCATGAAATCCATTTTAGGGGATCAGTGCTCAATCTAGCAAAGTAAATAAACTCACATTAGGGCCTCAGGGATATGTATTTCCTCTATTCTTGAGACTGAGTCCCTGTGGGGCAGATCACACCCCTTCCACAGCTTCTCTGTCTCTCCTGACCTCTCACCCTTCACAGTCCCTGACACACAGCAGGAGCTAGGGTAGTACTGGGTGCTGATTTGTATGTGGACTACTTAGGTTTGATCTCTGGTATCTCATTTGATCCCCTGAGCCCACCGGAGTAATTCCTGAGTGCAGAACCAGGAATAAGTCCTGGGCACTGCCAGATGTGGCCCCCAAACAAGCAAACAAATGAACAACAACAACAAAATAAAATACTAGGAAAACTAATATTGCTTAATGATAAACTAAACTGTCAAGAAACAGAAATAGATTATGAGTAAAAGGAAAAATATTATACCAATGAAATCCAGTTAGTCCTCATGTGGATGGAGTGGAGGAAATGGTCATTGAAGATGGGAAAAGCATTGCACTCTCAACTAAATTCTTCTTTTTCTTATTATTATTCATATTCTTTTACAGATTTCACCTACTCAGCTTCTTAGCATGATGGACCCTTGCTAGGATGAATCCACTGGCTAGAACTCACTAGAAAGTTTCCTCCTTTGTACTCTTATGCCCTCTCACTTGCCAGCTCTTTATAACTGAAACCAGAAGAAATTCTAATCTGACTAGTGTGTTAATTTTACTCTTACTGCTCATACCTTATCCCTAGAGAGCATAATTCTGGATTTGTACATGTACCCTTTTAATATTTATCATTTTTATTTGCACAACTTCCTCTTGATCCCAAGAATTCCTCTCCCTCTTCTGTTCACCCCTTAACACAAAGTCTACTGACTTCTTTCGTGCTTCAGATACTATTGAAGAGGGGGGAAAAGGCACTTACATAAAATATCTGCACTTGATCCAACTTTATAATTGGTTCCATGCTTTGCTTTCAATGCATTTGCTGCCTTCTGTCCAACTTGGAACTGTAGGTGGGAAATGCAAAGACAGATATCTGGTGTTAAAAATAAATGGAAAAGGGGACAGAGACACAGTAAAGCCAATAAAGTACTTTCCTGGCCCACGGTCAATCCAAGTTCAATCTCTGGCACCCCATGATCTCCTGAGCACAGATCCACAGTGCTAGGAGAAGCCCTGAGCAAAAGCTGGGCATGACCCTCAAAGCAGTGAATAAATAAATACAGAATAAATTAAAAATTAAGCAATCTAAAGAGTTTTGATATTTTGTCCAAATTCATCTCCAAAGTTACAGACTTTCCTTATAATTTCCCACTGGACACTTATACCTATGTAAACTGCTGGCATTTCACAGTCAACATGCTCAAACTCAGTAAGGTCGCTGTGATTTCCGTGCTTCATCATGCTCTACCCCTCTCCCCCAGCATCCATAAACTCCTGCAGAGTTCTCTAACACTTCTTCTCTTAAATAGTTGCCAACTTGCATTTCCAGTGCCATCGTCTCATTACCTCTGAAACAGATAATCCTTATTTCAATGAAACCATCTGGTTTCCAGGTGACCTCTTACAGAGAATAGCTTTGATTTTGATTGTGCTGAAAAGCCTTTAATAATTTTGTTACCCAGTGAATTAAGTACAAACTTCTCAGTTGAGTGTTGGGGATTATCTGTGATATGCCCCAACATACCCTTCTAACAACTCGCTCTCTACATCTCATTTTAGATTATAGCGGAACTAAAGAACCTTTTCTACTCTCCAGATACTCCAAGATGCTTTAGCCTCTCGCTTTTCCCAGGTCATTCCCTCTCACTAGGATGCTGTTCCCCTATTTGTGCTGGTGAAATTCTCAGCCTCAAAGAACTCTTGTAGTTGTTAACTTCTCCATAAAATTTTTTCTGTTCACCCCAACTGAATTCTCTCTCTTCCCCATTTTGAACCTCCCATAGCGCTTTGTTTATACTCCTTTTGTTACTCCCCTCTTATTTTTCCACATTTGATACTTTTTGTTTATAATGTCTAAGAACCAGAAGCTGCACCTTTCTCCACTTGCTTCCCTACATTGTAAAGCCCTCAGAATTTGATTTGATTTAAAAGTGTGAGCCTTGCTCTCTGCAGAAACTTTCTTGAGAGGAGGGTCACTGAAGTCAAAGTGAATTGACTGTTTTTATTGACTTTATGATAAATCTCCTTGCATAGCCCCTTCACTTGCATGCTCTTCTCCTTTGCATATCCCCTTCTCTAGTAGATGCTCCTATTTTCCACTCTGACCCCTTAATGCTATTTTCTACGATATTATGATATATCCCACTGCTTTAGATTCTACACAGATACTTCAAAAATCTCCTTGGTCACGCCCCCTTGCCTGGACCATGTCCATGATTGCTTTACCCCAAGGGCAGTCTGACTGCATTTGTATATACATCAGCTTCACTGACTTCTGACTAGTGACAGGTCTAGTAGTAGATCCTGTTTTTTATCTTGTTGCACTGTCCATAAGAAACTAAAGCTATCAAGGAGCAGTGCTTCATGGAGTACAGAGAGACACAGTGAAATTCGAAAGGAAGAGTGAGACAATAGGTATTGTGTCTGGGGTGTTCTTATGCAGCAGTCGTGAGCATCCTCTTTAGAGTGTTGTGACTTTAAGGCAGAACACTCCATTGAATATATTTGCAAGCTTTTAGTCTCTTCACTGACTGCTGAGATTTCTATCTTTGACCATTCATCTTCTCTCACTCATCTTGGAATGAGATCCTCAGTCTGTTTTTCTTCCTGGGCTTGAGTTATCCAAATTTAGGTTAGTGAGTAGGAAAGGCTAAAGAATTACAAAGGGTAAAGCTGACTTCATCCTGTCTACCACCAAGAAGACATTTCTGGAGAAAGAATTTCTGAGAAAGAAATTAGAATGGAAGGTGGAAATAAATAATTTAAGGTAGCTGCCATGAATGTGTGTGAAAGGAAGAGCTCTAACTACACACCCTTTTAAAGACACTGGTAAAGATAAGAATTGCTTTCCTGTTCAATTCCCATGAGTTTCTGTATTTCTTTGAATGAAACTCCATGCTAACTGATCCATTTGGGGCGATGTGGATCTACTTAGATGATATGGATCACTGTGAGGCTACATTTTTCATCCTAATAAAAATTTCGTCCATTTTCCCTTTCCCATATGATCCCAGACAACAATTCCTGTTTCCAATTACCAATTTATAATACTTTTATTCTGTAAAGTTCTCACCCTTCAAATCCTGATTATGAAATAGACAACTATCTTCTCAGATGACCTGCTTTATTGACAAAGAACTTTTATTTCTTAAGTAATTCCACCAGCGATTACTATGGGGAAGTAGCTAAGAGAAAATGATATATATGAGATGCATACAGTTGTGAGTCTTTCTGAGATGAAATGGAACTCCAAAGACTGCTCTGACTTCTATCTTTAGGAACAGAACTCTTGATTATACTTCTCTCCCCTTCTGACACTATACAGTAAAAGCACAGAGAACCAATGCCTTTGCTTCCCTTCTTAGCCTGAGGAACTTTCTAGTCAAAATGATTTAAAAAATCCCTTTACTAGTAGAACAAAATTTACACTGCTGACCTGAGGGTTGCTCTGACCACTTCTTCACTGAGCACAGAGAATTTCCCCTAGATATGGGAAGGCACCCAAAGAGTTTCATTAAGACCCTGGCATGCATGTTCAAGGATGGAGTTTGGGGTGAAATAAAGGAGTGATATAGAGAGAATTTAAGAAAAATGAAGGACACATCTTAAATATTAGAATTTTTACAACTTTTCTAATTTTTAAAGAGTTTAGAATGAGGTTGTGTATGGTTATGTTTCCTCTATATAGAGAGAGACTGCCCAGTTGTCTACCACGTGGGGTAGCATTTATCAAGGTTTCTATCAGGTTCAGTTTGGTAAAGATATTGAGATTAAGTACTAGTTTCTATTTGTTGTAATAGTACCAGAAATGGAAATCTCATTGAACTACTGTCTTGGTTTTAAGTTTTTGCACACTATGCTAAAGGCAAGACATTAATGCCACTATAACTTAGTTACATTAAATTTGACACAAATGACAAAATTCTCTGTCTTTATTATAGAAAAGTCTTAGAGAAGGGTACTTATACTAATTCTTCAGTAATTCCCATCTTAGCACTTCCATCTAGCAGTGCTAATGCCAGTGTCCATGTTTCTCCTGCTTTCTAGCTTATGGTCACAGGGTTCTAACATATAGTCCATCGGCAATACAAACCCTCTATCTTTTGAAAACATGCCATGCAAAAGTGGATTTGATGGATTTCAGGATATATTTTCCTAGGTCACAAAAAGAAATGAAGCTTTCTAGAAAAGATATAGAGAAATAGGAAACTCTTGGTTTTTATTTATTTATTTATTTATTTATTTATTTATTTATTTGGTCCTTGAGATGGAAGACTGGTCATACCAGAGATTTAAAAGGCCTATCTTCAGTGGTTTGTCTATGTTTGTCTCCAATTCCTCTCAGCAGAAATGAGATATCTATGACAGCTGTTAGAAAAACAAGGGAATGAGGAGGGTTCTGGGCTTCTCAGCTGAAATCTCTGTTCCTGCAGATTTCTTTATCAAATAAGTGGAACTTTAGCAATTCAGGAATGAGGACATAGTATGTAGTGGATGGTAAAAGCTCCTGGGACTGAAGTGATAGTAAGATGAGTAGGGTACTTATATGTAGAGACTTGGGGTCCAATCTCTAGTGCTTTTTATGGTACTCCAGCTCCACTAGGAATAAATCCCTGAACACAAAGCCAGGAGTAAAAACTGAACACCACTGGTTGTGGCCTAAATCCACTCACTAAAATCTATAACAGCCGCTCCTAGAAGTTGCAAAAACCTCTCTGAGCCAAGAAAGGAAGTTATAAAGTGGTAGTCAGACTCTGACCTCTAGACCCTGATAATGAGCCTTTCAACCCAGGCACTACCTCCATTCACTACCTATTGAGGCTCTGGAACAAAAGCAAGTGCTCAGTTTTCACATCTCCAAACTGAGTTTATTTATTATACTGTCATGAGAATCAAATGAAATAATCTCTTTGCAAATTACAACATTCTAGGCAAATGTTTGTTATTTCCACATTTCACAAAATAGCATTTCACATAGCTCAAATGACCAAAAACAATTACAAGAAAGAACTGGGTGTGGCTAACTATTTCCTATGATGCAGGAAGGGCTCCCTTTAGTAAAACTCTGTTGTAGTTTTTTTAAATTATTATTATTCATTTAGTGTGAAGACTTATGTTCTTTGAGTAATAAGTGGGCGAAGGATAAGAGGTAAAAGGATCATTGGATTCTATAAAGTAAAGTTAGAAGGAACTTACTTAGTCCCTACTCATCTCAGCATTTTCTGATAATTAGGAGCTGGCATTAAACAAACAAACAAAGATAAACAGAAATCTATAAGTGTTGGTGAGAATGTAGAGAAATTTAAACCCTTGAACACAGTTGTAATGAAAAGTGATGTACCTGCTGTAGAAAAATAGTATGGTGGTTCTTCAAAAGTTTAAAATAGGAGCCTTATGTCCTAGAAATTTTATTTCTTGATATATACCTCCTCAGATTGAAACCATAATCACAAAGAAATGCCTGTATCCTATGTTCAAAGAAGAATTACTCACAGTAATAAAAAAAAAAGGGAAACACCTCAATGCCAGTGATAGATTTCTTAGTTTAAAAAAATGATATTACAACACCCAATAAGAGAGAGAGAGAACAAAAGGGAATGCCCTGCCACAGAGGTAGGGTGGGGGGGGATGGGGGGTGGGAGGAATACTGGGATCTGTGGTGGTGGGAAATGGGCACTGGTGGAGGGATGGGTATTTGATCATTATATAATTGAAACCCAAGCACAAAAATTTGTAAGTCTACAACTTTACCTCATAATGTCTCACTAATAAAAATTTAAAAAAAATTTAAAAAAGTGATATTAGAATATTACACCATTATTCCACCTTTAAGAGGGAGAAACAGATCTTAAGACCATTATGCTTAGTGAAAAAGGGAGTCACATAAAAACATATTTGTATGAATCCTCTATTAAAAGCTATCAAAAAGGACAGTAGCACTGTCCTCCCATTGTTCATTGATTTGCTTGAGTGGGCACCAGTAACATCTCCATTGTGAGACTCATTGTTACTGTTTTTTGGCATATTTAATATGCCAAGGGGATCTTGCCAGGCTCTGCTGTGGGGGCGTGATATTCTTGGTAGCTTGCCGGGCACTCTGAGAGGGATGGAGAAAATGAACCCGGGTTGGTCACGTGCAAGCAAACTCCCTACCTGCTGTACTATTGCTCCAGCCCGGTATCAAAGTCACAAAGAAAAAAAACCCAGAATCGTGGTTCCTGGGTTAAGGAACACGGAGAGTTTTTTATGGGCATTGTATTTCTATGTTCCTAGAGAGAACAGACGCCATTGGGCTACACTAGCACGCGACAGGGACAAATGGAGACGTTACTGGCGCCCGATCGAGCAAATCGACGATTCACGGGAAGTCAAGTGATCAAGTGATCAAGTATGTCTATACTGCAAAATGAAAAGGTTGTGGAGATTGTTTTACCAATAATGTGAATGCACTTAACATTACTGCACTTTCCCCTTGAAATGGCTAAGAGGATACATTTTTATGTTATGTATATTTTGCCACAATTAAGAACCAAACAAATAACAAAATAATTATCCTAAATGTGGTTGTTGTCATCAGGTTTGCAATTGTACTTTTCAACAACTCTAAAACCCATAGTGCCAGGGCAAATAGTTTCTGAGAGAGTTCGGAAATAGGCACACAACTTTCCCTAGCCAGGCTTGCGTTTGATGGGCTCATCCCCTTACAAATTTTTCTAGACAAATACTAGAAGCAGGGTTAAAAAGAAAAGAAAGCATTGTGTTTAGCAGAAAAGAGAGCAGATATTATTTAGCTGTGTTATTTTAGATATGCCATATTCCATGAACAGCTGGCAAGTTCTTTAAAGCATGGTTCAAAAGCTATAATTGCTGAATGGAGCTTCAACAAAATTTACAGAAATGAAAGCACATTCCTGCAGATTATTAACATAATCATCTCATTTATATTATAGACAAATGCGTAAGATGTCTCCCAACTTGACACTTTAGGAAACAGGTAGTTAATTAATGTAGGTAAAGCAGCATTTAACCTGAAGCCTTCCCAGCAGGCATCTGGAGAGGTGTAAAAAGCAAGAGAAAGAAAATAAAGAGCAGAGAGGAACAAAAGCGGGAGTTAAAATCTTAGAAATAGAAACCAGGAAAAGGAGATTTCTCTGGAGATCTCAGCAAGATCTCAGCATCTCTGTTCTTACCAGTTCATCGTAGTTGCTTGATTTATTTTTGGTGTAACCATAAGGCAGGAGGATGAGCTGCCCATAGGAGTGAATGGTCAGGTAGCACACAATGCTCTTCTTATTGGCCTCTAAAAAGCTGGAAACAGCTTTGGTTTCTGGTTCAGACACTGGTCCTGCCCCACAGAATGTTAAGTCTTCACAGTTTTTAGATGCTCCAACACCTGGAATATAAAGGAAATCTACCCAGTCGCCACTATACTGATTTAGACCAACTTGGTGAAAAGAAGTTTCTACGGGTGGAACTGAGTGTTTGCCCTTGCTTAAATACATTTGTCCTGAGCAAATTAGTCTATATAGATAGCCATTCAAAGAGGGACTAATAAAAGGCAAACAGATTTAGAAACACCCATGCTTTCACAGCCAGGGTATGAAATAGAAGATTTTCAAGAATCTTCTACTTAACTCTGTAGTGAGTCCTGAAATATAAGACCATATGTATATATATATCTATATATGTGTATATATATACATACATATATACATGTATATCTATATATGTATATATGTATATATATACATATATATAGCAATATATAGCCCTATTTAAAAAAATTTTTATTAGTGAAACACCATGAGGTACTGTTGTAGACTTAAAATTTTTGTGCTTGGGTTTCAGTTATACAATGATCGAGTACCCATCCCTTCACCAGTGCCCATTCTCCACCACCACTGATCCCAGTATCCCTCCCACCCCCCAACCCCCCATCCCACCCTGCCTCTGTGACAGAGCATCTCCTTTTGTTCTCTCTCTCTCCTTTTGGGTGCTGTGGTTTGCAAAAGAGGAATTGAGTGGCAATCATGTTCGGTCTATAGTCTACTTTCAGCATGCTTCTCCCATCCTGGGAGGATCCTCCCAACACCCTTTATTTGGTGCTCCCTTCTCTATCTGAGCTGGCCTTTTCCCCTAGCATGTGTGGCTGGCCTCCAAGTCATGGAGTAAACCTCCTGGTACTTATCTCGGCTATTCTTGAGTGTTAGTCTCCTACTTTGTTACTTTATGTTCCCCAGATGAGTGCAGTCTTTCTATGTCTGTGCCTTTCTTTCTGACTCATTTCGCTTAGCATGATACTTTCCATGTAGTACCACTTGTATGTAAATTTCATGACTTCATCTTTTCTAACAGCTACATAGTACTCCATTGTGCAGATGTACCAAGGTTTCTTTAACCAGTCATCTGTTCTCGGGCACTCAGGTTTTTTCCAGATTCTGGCTATTATAAATAGTGCTGCAATGAACAAAAAAGTGCAGATGTCACTTCAACTATACTTTTTTGCCTCTCTGGAATATATTCTCAGGAGTGGTATTGCTGGGTCAAATGGGAGCTCAATTTCTAATTTTTTGAGAATTGTCCATACTGTTTTCCAAAAGGGCTGAACCAGTCGGCATTCCCATCAGCAGTGGAGAAGGGTCCCTTTCTTGCCACATCCGCGCCAACACCAGTTGCTTTTGTTCTTTTGGGTGTGGGCCAGTCTCTGTGGTGTGAGATGATATCTCATTGTTGTTTTTATCTGCGTCTCCCTGATGATTAATGATGTAAAGCATTTTCTCATGTGCCTTTTTGCCATTCGGATTTCTTCTTTGAGAAAGTTTCTGTTCATTTCGTCGCCCCATTTTTTTATGGGGTTGGATGTTTTCTTCTTGTGGAGTTCAATATATTGCCCTATTTTTATGGTCTAAATTTTTCTCCCCATCTTACTGGTTTGATTTTCAATACATCTCTCTTGCAGACAAAATAAAAAGTTATTTTGTAGTCTGCCTTCCTCACCAAGGATAGTAAGGCACTAAATCAAAATTTCAACCTTTGCTATCTGTATTTTAATCATTGTAGCCACCTCTTTATTTGCTTCCTGTCCATTGTGCAGGCTGTTATTCTGAAACAAACAAAAATTTCCTTACAGAGAAAAAAGACGTTTGCTGGGGAGATTCTGCAAGTGTAATTCTCTGATTTTTTATGGCAATGCCATAAAAAGATCATAAATTTCAAACATACTCACACTGGTCTAGGCCTTCATTGCCTTTGTTAAGTCAGCCTCATTTGAAGAGATCCCTGAACTTGGGTGTGTTCTGTATTATGTAGGTAATAAAGTAAAGTAAAGTAAAGGCCCTCCCGTTGATCATCGATTTGCTCGAGCGGGCCCAGTAACATCTCCATTGGAGACTTTGTTGTTACTGTGTCTGGCATATCGAATACTCTCGGTAGCTTGCCGGGCTCTCCGAGAGGGGCGGAGGAATCGAACTCGGGTCGGCCATTTTGGCTGCGTGCAAGGCACACGCCCTACCCACTGTGCTATATTCTTTTTTTTTTTTTCTTTTTGGGTCACACCCAACGATGCACAGGGGTTACTCCTGGCTCATGCACTCAGGAATTACTCTTGGGGGTACTCAGAGGACCATATGGTATGCTGGAAATCAAACCCTGGTCAGCCACATGCAAGGCAAATGCCCTACCTGCTGTGCTATTGCTCCAGCCCCGGTAATACTATTCTTTTTGAGAGAAAAGATGGGTCAGGAAGTCCACATGGTTGTCTAAATTGAACAGTTTGCATTTATTTTCTCAGAATTCACTTTTCTCTTGGCCTGCCTTTTCTTTCTCTCTCTCTCCTTCTCACCCTCTCTCCCCCTCTCTCTCTCTTTCACGTTTATCGGTTCATTTACTAAGCATGTACTTACTGCACCACGATGCATTGAAGTTTCTATTGAGATCTGTCCCAAAACATGTGTTATTATTATGAGGGGATCGGGATTTCCTCCAATTTCGATCCTGGAAGAAGGGAACAGAAAGAAAGGGTCAAAGAAATGTCTCCTAAATCAATGTTAATGATGATGGTTGACCTTCAAACATAAAACATGGTTCCTGGGAGGGCCTGGAAGAACTTGTCTTAAACACTGGGGAGCCTGTGTGCATAAGCTTCACAGATGGGCTAGCCATGCCCACAAACATGAACGTCTATACAACCCAAAGTGCTCATAGATAGAGGCCATCAAAATCGAGGGAGTAATTTGGCATTTTCCTTGGGAATAGATTAGCAGTGCCTGGGTGGGTGTGATCTGCTTAATTAGGGAAAACTTTAAAGAGTCATTTTTTTTAGGTTCGTATAATACAGGATGAAAGGGAAATAGCTTGGCAGATGGAAAAAGTCTGTTCCAGGTACAGGAGAGAGAGGAGAGAAGAGAGAGAGAAAGAGGAGAGAGGAGAGAGAGAGCGAGAGTGTGTGTGAGAGAGAGAGAGGTGTCACTGCACATTTCTAAAGGCAAAAGACTGATTGCTGAGTGGAGGTGGGGAGGTGGGGGTAAAGACAAGCTTTTCCAGAGAAGCTCAGAGAGAAAGATTTGATTCACACATATGGCCAGGAAGACTGTTGCAGTGAACGGTTTTACAAAGGGTCCTTGGGGTGCAATTGGGGTGGGAAATGAATGGTTTAAAAAAATGAAGGCTCCTATTTGTGAAATGATTGGCTTTAGAAGCACTTTACGGAAGAAATTGTTTATTAGATAGAAGTTTTAGTGGTATTTGGTCTCTCTGTGAAAGATCATAATGAAAAATGAAAGTTGGATCCGTATTTATATAACACTGGTACTCCTGAAGTTCTAAATTGGATGTAGCAGAGCTGAGGCTGGCGGGGGGTACTCAGTTGGTAGAGTACATGTGTTGTATGTATGAAGCCCTGTGTAGGATTACCAGCACCACATATGCCTTCCAACTTCCAGGTGTGGCCTCCATATCAACAAAAATAAAGCGAAGAGCATGTATATCAATCTTATGCCAATATTATCTAGTTCAGTAACAAGGAGTCCACAGATGTTAAGAACATGTAATATAGCTATTTCATCAAAACAAAAGCAAAACCTTATAAGAATATGTCAAACACAAAGCACATTTTGGACTTCAACTCTATAAAAGACCTTTGATCTCCTTGATCCCAAACTTGGCATATTGTTGACTTAAACACTAATTTTTAAAATCTCAAATAGCTTTAGGAGGCCACAAAGAAAGATACAGTTGCCATAGTGGAGATCAGAAACGGGAACCTAAGTCAAGATCTGGTTCATGAACTCATCCCAGAATCAAGCCCAGTGTACTCACTGTTGTCCAAGAGTAGATATAACCATCTATGTTCAGAACGGGAAGCACATAGAAGTCCAGGTTGCTAAGCAGCCTACTTATCCTTGCATTGGCTTTATAGTTTTGTAAGATCTGGAAATTTAAGAAAGAACTATTTGAAATGATCATGGGAAGGCACCTTTTCTTGTCTAACTTTCTAGCTAATTCAACTGAATTTTCAGAAATGATTGTACACCCAACCTCTACCTTCTAACCCCAGTTTTCCTTTTTGTTAGCATAGTAGTAAAACTTCAGTGTGCAATGAAATCATATGCAGAACTTGTTAAAATAAAATTGTTTGGTTCCACTCCCTCATCTTCATCCACCACTTCTGATTCACTAGTCCACAGGTGGAGGGGTAGATCCCAAGAATCTGCACTTCCAAGTTTCCAGTTATGTTGATAGTGTTCATCTGAGGAACACAATGAGAGTATTCTTCTTTAGTTTGTATTTGTGTCATTGAAACAGTGACACAAAAATTGGTTACTCTTCTTTTAAATGCTTACTCCCTTCAATTCAATATCATCTGATAGTAAATCACTTCTGATTTATGATTATATTTGCTTAGTGTCTATCCAGTTCCTCGTGTTTCTTTTTATTGATTTTTCATTGATTCACAGTAATATAAATTATAAGAGTTTTAGCTATATTTTCTATGTGGATTTAAAAATCAAGCAACACACCCACCCCACACCAAGAAAAACCCACTGCCATCCCATCATCAAAAGATTCCTTTACTTATTTCTTTTATACCATGTTTCTTCATTTTAAGAAACTGCCATATTTTCATACTTTTCTCTGAATCCAGGAGCTATAGTTATTTATTTATATATATTACACATATGAATAAAACCATAGAGTAGTTTGTCTTTGACTTCTGTACTCATTTCACTTTGCAAAATGACTTCAATTACCATCCATTTTATCCCAAAAGGCACACTTTTATTCTTTTAAGAGCTAAGTAGAATTTTATTGAGTATATACACCATGTGTTTTGTAGCCAGTCATATGTCAAGGGGCATTTTAATTGCCACTATAGTATATCTATTGTAAGCAATGATGCGAAGAACATAGGTGTGCAAATATCCCTTGGAATTTGTGTTTCATGATCTTCAGATAAATGCCTATGACTGGTATTGCTGGATTATATAAACTTACTTTTTTGGTTTCAAAAGAATCATTATATTATTTTCTCAAGAGGCTATACCAGTTTACATTCCCACAAAGACTATATCAGAATTCTTTTCTCTCCACAATTTCACCAGCATTTCTTGTTATTGACATGTTTGATACAGATCATTCTCAGTGGTGTAACTCACCATAGTTTTGATTTAGATTTCCCTAATAGTGAGTGGTGTCTAATAACTTTTATTTGTCTGTGGACCAACTACACATTATCAAAAGATTATCTATTTTGATCGTCTTAGTTTTTTATTGGATTATTTGCATTATTTTTGTTGTTGTTGAGTTTCCTCTTTTGGGGCAGAGGTGACTCTCAGAAAGTGCTCAGGGGGCCTGGAAGACACTCCCTGTGATTTTTGACCAACTGGGCCAGTAATTCAAAGTGAGGACCTGAGGATTTGGTACTGCTTGAGCTCTGTGGTTCTGCCACCCCAGTGGTGTTCTGGATCTCCAGGGCTATACCCAGTGATACTCAGGGGACTTGAGTGCTGGGGCTCAAAGCAGTGTGGCTGCATGCAAGGCGAATGCTCTAACCTTTGCACTATCTTTCTGACCCCTTTATCTTAAAGAAAGGGTAGAAAACTATGCAAAATTTCATTTGCTGGGCGTTTTCCATCTACGAAATATCTTGATCCATCTGACGTATCTATTGTAGTTATTTTATACTATTTTGCTAGGAAGAAATCTAAAGATCCAAGAGTTAGAAAATTTGTACTACCTTATTAGAAAGGAGCCTCATCATATTGACTTCTTTATATGTGTTTACTATTAACTCTTTGTTGGACCTATTATAAAGTCTCTAACTGCACATTTGATACCAAGGTCATACAGTATATCACCTCTGCTATTATTTTCTATATATTTTATGGTTGGGTATAATACTAATATCTCTCTTTAATCCATTTTGAGTCAATTGGGTTTCATTTGCTTGCTTTTGTTTGCTTAGGGGCCACACCTGGCAGTCCCAATGACTTACTTTTAGCTCTCGGCTCAGGTATTGCTCCTAGTGGTGCTGAAGGGACCACATGGGGTGCTAGAATGAAACTGGTTCTAGCATGTAATGTAAGAACTTTATCAGATGTACTACTCTTCATCTGAGTTGTTATATAGGTATTAAACAGTGATTTAGTCTTATTTATTTATTCATTTACACATGTGGTTACCCCGTTTTCCCAGCACCAATGTGAAGAGGTTTTTCTTTCTCCATTGTATAATTTTATACCTATATACCTATCTAGGTTTATTTCTATGTTCTATGCCATTGGTCTGTGTAGCTTTTCCTAAAACCATACTGTTTTAATTACTCATTCTTTATAATATCTTTTGGAATCAGAAATTTAATATCTTGATTTTTATTTTCTCTCAGAATTGCTTTTATTATTCGGGGTCTTTGTTGTTTAGAATTATTTTATTCAGATATTACTTTTAAAGATAATCTATTATCTCAAAGAAAGAGTAGAAACATACAAAATTTCATTTGTGGGGCGTTTTCCATCTACTAAATAGTAGATGGAAACTCAGGCGCTTATTGTAGTTATTTTATACTAATTTTGCTAGTATGAAAACTAAGGGTCCAGAAGTTAGAAAATTTGTACTAGCTTATTATAAAGGGGCATCACCAGGATTAGAAATATTATTGGACATTCAAGATGCATTTATTTTACACTTAAATATGTTACCCTTCCATTAAAAAATATTTCAGATGCACTATAAAGAGATCAAAATCTCTCACTAAGTTTTTTGGTATAGCTAAGTATCACTTAATTTAACTTGAAGGGAAGGAGCAGTTCTATAGAATTATATCATTAGCATGTGCAAAGAAGCACTTTTTTGAAATAGAAAGACATAATAGACATTTTGTCGGATAGTTAGCCCTTATGGTTATATTAAGGACACTTACTTCTTTCACAAACCACTGGCAAAATGCTGGTGCAATCCATTCCCTGGCATGAATTCCACAGTCCATCCAAATTATCTTCTTGGGGTTTCCAGATGATTTGCTGATCTGGAAGGGATAGTTGTGCTTCATTACCAAACACTTATCATTGTAACTTAGTTCAAATTATCAAGAGTTTTTTTTTTTAATTACCTTCGATATTCCTTTCTTTCTTTACTGTAATTCCATAGAGCAAGGGCACTAGCAAAGATACCCACCAATATGATCTTCTTAGCTACACATAGAATTCACTCAGAATAGTAAAATACATAAATGGTAATAGTCAAGTATAATAGGTAGTTAAGAAAAATAATCTTGGTCTTCACTTGAATTTCTTGGAACTTGGAATATATATGAAATTATATATAATTATACATTTATATCTAATTTCCTGCAATATTTATTATTTAATTTTTCTATTACCTAATGTCCTTCCACTTCTAGCTAACCAGGTCTTATTTCTTCTCTCCTCATTTGTTACTCTTGTACACTGGTGCAGCTTTCCTGTAGTTAGAAACATCCTTTCTACATTCAGAAGAGTAGGAATTAACCTTTATTTATGGATTGTCTTTGGTGGCAAGGAGGCCGTGACTACTCCTAGATCTATATAGTTACATCTGTTTTGGTTCTTTAAGTGCCCCAGATTTAGGCAAGCAATCATTGAAAAACATTGGGAGCTGGGCTGATGATTCTCTTTATGAGGAAAAGCAAACTGAGATAAATACAGGGTTGGTCCCATCATATTCAAGTAATTTTTTTCTTTCAACCTCACCCATTTTCAAAGCTGGCAACATAATTCCTAACCCACTGCTTACATTTGTCATGTATTATAATTATCCATTTTATAAACATATGTATATTATATATTGATGATATGTTTATTGCCTCCTTATTATGTACAAATTTTATTCTTTAGACTCTGCCAAAGGCAGAGGCAGTTTCAGTGTCTTTTTAGCTGATTCAGCTCATAGTTGAATGACCTCTCAAATGTTGGGTCCATAGGTATCCCAAGATTAAGCAATAATCTAGCCAACTTCTCCATAAAATTTATTTTAGAATCAATAGATTCTTTTTATAGTGTGTAACTCTCACATTGAAAATCTCTTTGTAAATTAACATATCAAAGTAAGTGGTAAGAGGGTAATGACTAAGTGACTGAGTAATATTAGCCTTCAATACCTAACTGATTTGACAATGATTCTGAAAGAGTAACCCCAGCCAGCCTTACTAGCAATACCTGGGAATTTATTAGAAATGCATTGTGATTGCAAAACTTAAATTTGCATCAGAATAACCTGGAGGTCTTGTTAAAAAAGATGACTTGGCCTCACCCCCAGAGTTTCTGATTAAGTGGAGCCATAGTGGGACTCAACAATGTGCTTTTCTAACAAGTCACCAGGTGATGAAGATGCAGCTGATTCCAGGATCACCCTTTCAAAACCACTGGTTTGGTGCAGTGGCTGTCTATTCTGAACACATATCAGAAAGACCTGGAGAATTCGCAAAGCATGCCTAGTCCCCACGTGGAACAGAGCATAGAACTGACAATTTGGAGGAATTATTCCTTAAAGATGGAACCCAGGCATCAGTATGATGGAGAAGGGCCCCAGGTTATTTTTACATAAAACAGTATTGAGAGAATCACTGGTTGCAAAACAAGATCCTCAAAGTTCTATGGAAAAGTGACCTCTCAGCCTGAAATACTTTTTATCATGCCACAGGCAAAATTGAATTGCAAATTAAAGGGGCTAAAATGAAGCTTGTTTACTACTTTCACTTTAAAAAATTAAATTATTAAAAATTATTTAAATTAAATTATTAAAATTAAATTGAACAATTAAAATTCAACTGTATATCAAAAATGAACTGGTTCATATAGACATTAGTAGGATTTCCTCCTTATGCTGACTCTCTTCTTCCATCTTTGTGGAAGCATTGGCGATCCCCAAGTCTTCGAAGAATATAATCTGAGTAGAATGCCACCAGTGAGACTTTCAATTCTGAAGTCCTAATTCTTAGTTGGACCAAGGGAAGCACAGCATGGACAAACTCTTTCCACCTCTTTTTTTCTTTAAGTTTTCCCACCCAACCATTCCAAATCCTCTACATCTACATAATGAGCATGTGAAGCCATTTGCTTTTTAAAACCCTATACTCAGGCAAAGCCTTTCTTTACTACCCCCTTTTAACCTTGTCTACATTTCTGACAAGAGCCCCCAAATAGTTGAGAAGGATCTTTGGATTGGGTGGGAGCACCCTTTCAAGTCCCCACCCATCCCTTCCCCAGTGAGGTAATACTTAACCTTCTTACCTACCTTCAAATAATACATAGGCCGGTTCTCATAGGTCATTCCTAGGAAATGATTAGTTGCCACTTCCTTGTATTCCTCACTTATCTGATGTATCCATTGGTAGATCTGAAACAGCCAGAGTGAACTGTAGTATCAATAAAACGATCCTTTGCTTATCTCTAATTAAGATTACTGTTTCTTTCACTAAGATACTGGACTCTGGACTCTGCTCTGTGATGCAGCCCCTGTTACTAACCAGCCTAGAAGACTAAACTGATATATTATTATCAACCACCTCCCATTTTCTTTGAAGATTTATTTTCTTCCTAAGTCTATGATGTACTTTACAAAGTTGTTGAAAATTAACCATTTTACAATAGCATGTCCTGTAAAATAGTCACCAGAGTTTGCTTCCTGATGGTATCCAATCAAGCAAGAATTTTTAGCGTTGGCATATTTTGCAGGGATTTCTTCAGTCTTTAGGATGGAAGAAACTATTCTTTTTTTTTTCTGTTAAGGTCACACCCAGCGATGCTTAGGGGTTACTCCTGGATCTGCACTCAGGAATTCTCCTGGTGGTGCTTGGGGGACCCTAGAGGATGTTTGGAATCAAACCCGGGTCAGCTGCATGCAAGGCAAACACCCTACCCGCTGTGCTATCACTCCAGCCCCAAGGAAGAAATTGTTCTATTCTTTACTAAAGTCCATGGTCATAGGATTAAAGAAGTGCTGAATATGTCATTCACAGAACATGTCAATGAACGTTTCTAAATCAAAACCAAGTTAGTAATTTTGATTAAACTGAGCAGGCCTTTATGGATGATTTAATCATATCTTATATCATGTTCAGAAAGGAAAGGTCCGATACATTCACCAGTACATCAATAACATGAAGTTCCATAAAAGTGAATGAAATAGGGTATTCGCAATGTGAAATCTCAAGTCATAATATCATAATATAACATTGAGATAGTCATCAAGATGTGATAGGATATCTTTCATACACAATTATTTATTTTTTGTGTTTTCTTGCACAAATTCTTTCTTTTACTCTTTGAAAAATTTGTCAAAAATACTAATTTTCCCCCAGTTAGTGAGAGAAAGAATGGTGAAGTTTACCTAGAAGGCAGCTCTGCATTTATATAAGCAAATTACATAGGAGACTTATTTATACCAGGGATTTTATTTTTAGAAAGTTGTACTTTAAAGTAGTTTGTAAAATTTCACACTCTTAGAGATATGCATATAGGGTCACTTTCTTTCTTTCTTTCTTTCTTTCTTTCTTTCTTTCTTTCTTTCTTTCAATCTGGTTTCTGAAAATCACATATTGTAGTAGAAGTACACAATTTCTTTGAAGGGTTTCCTCTATTAAGAACTGTTGTATGTGGTTTATATTCCTAAAAACCATACTTTTAGGAGCTGGAGTGATCTTGGTTGGTGCTGATACCAATTCATTCAGGACACCTCATATGGTCTACCAAACTCTGCCAGGCATGATCCCTGAGCACAGAGTAAGAAATTAGCCCTGAGCACCACTAAGTGAGGCCCTCCAAAATTAAACAAAAACAGACCAAAAATCTCTTGCACTTTTAGTTACATATGATTCAATTAAAACATTCCCTTACTCCACATCCCCAGACATGTATATGTGCTAGTCCTTTCCTGATTAAACCATCTAAGGGTCTGATGAACAAGGAAAGTAAGACTTCTTTTTGGGTCATATTCATAAGACCAAAATTGGTTGGGATATTCCTTGCCTCCTACTTTTTGTGGTTTATTTACCATTTTTTTCATGTCACCAGAATATGATGGTGATCAGTGTTTTGTAATTCTGCAAACTGAGTGCACAGTAGTTTTTAGCCTAATGGCTTTTAGCCTCTCTAGATCTTGGACATTAACAAATAACCATCAGTCACCACCCTTATGTTGTCACCACCCAAACACTCTCCCTTTCTGAGTTTTTGCTTACCTCACCCATTGAGTGGTAACTTTTATATGAATAGGTCTTTAGGCTCCTCCATGAACTCATTGTCATATCCCCAACTTCTTTTTGGTTTTGTGCTAGAGACCTACAAAAAAAAAGAGAGATTAAAATTCAGTGAGATAATAAGTATATAGTCATTGTTGCTGATAGTAAGTAAAAGGTTTAGGACTTGGAAAACAAAAACAAAAGCTGTGGGAATCTTGGCTTTGAGATAATTTTGAGTCAACAAAGACTCCCTCTGAACTGTAGTTTTGGTTTTTGTTTTAATTGAAAACTAATATAGCCATTCCTATCTTTGGTGGGGTTGAGGAGATGGTTTGGCTACACCAGAAGGTGTTGAGACTACTCCAGGTTCTGTGCTTAGGGTTGCTCCTGGCAGTGCTGGGGGACCAGCAATGGAGCCAGGGATTGAACCAATCAGCTGCTTGCAGTAGGCGAGGACTGTGCCTAAACCCCTGTACTATCTCTTTAGCGTAACCATTCCAATATTGTAGGAAGTATTACAAGACATTGTAAGGATGATTCAGATAAAAGAGTAAGAGAATTTTAAATGTGTATAAGAAATAGCAAGAATTGCTGAACTCTGGCAGGACTCTACCTGCTCAGGACTGAGCCTCGAAGAGAATCTGCTGAAAACTCCAGATACACAGGCTGAAAACTTAGGTGGCTATACACTTGAGCCTTCTTGGAGTCAGGATGGACAGACTTCCCTCACCTCCACATACCGCTGGAACCCCAGAAATCATTCCCACAAGTCACCTTCACCTCCATGTGTAAGCTCATCTACCAGTCCTGTTCCAAAGATTCATAAATAGGTATCTGGGATAGAGAAGGGACCACCAAGTGAGTGGTGCTAGGGGGGCTTGCTCAGGATGGGAGATGCATGCTGAAAGTAGACTATAGACCAGACATGATGGCCACTTACTAGCTATACTGCAAACCATATCACCCAAAAGGAGAGAGAGAATAAAAGGGAATGTGCCTGCCACAGAGTCGGGGGTGGGGGTGGGTGGGAGGATGACGGGAGGGATACTGGGATCACTGGTGGTGTAGAATGGGCACTGGTGGAGGGATGGGTACTTGATCATTGTATGACTGAAACATAATCATGAAAGTTTGTTAAGTCTACAACTGTTTCTCATTAAAAAATATTTAAAAAACAATGATAGATTTACCCACTAAGATGCTATTTCGAAGTTGTGTATAATACTGAATACTCTTAACAACCAAAAGATTAAAAGAGAAGACATTTTTAAGATGGTGATGCATTCCACTATCTGTCCTGTAGCACTATCCTCCTGCTGTTGGTCGATTTGCTTGAGCGGGCACCAGTAACATCTCCATTGTGAGACTTGTTGTTAATGTTTTTGGCATATCGGATACTCCACGGGGAGTCCAACTGGAGGCCTGGCAGCGACTCTGGGGTATGGGAATGGCTTCCTGGGTTTTGATCAGGCAGGAGCTAGCTTGCTGCTCCCGAGATTGCCCCAGAGGGCTCAGTCGGAACCAATGTAGGAGAAATTTTAGCGGCTAGTTGATCTTTTTCAAGCTTGCTTTCTTTTGGCATATCGGATACTCCACGGGGAGCTTGCCAGAGTCTGCCGTGCAGGCAGGATACTCTCAGTAGCTTCCCAGGCTCTCCAGGAGGGGCAGAGGAATTGAACCCGGGTCATCCGCGTGAAAGGCAAATGCCCTACCCGCTGTGCTATTGCTCTGATGCATTCCATAACCAAAAAAAAATTAAAACCACAAATGCTGTAAGAAAGAAAGGAAGGAAGGAAGGAAGGAAGGAAGGAAGGAAGGAAGGAAGGAAGGAAGGAAGGAAGGAAGGATTACTCCTGGCAGTGCTTGGGGGACCATATGGGGTGCTGGGAATAGAATCCGGGTCGGCTGTGTGCAAGGCAAATGCCCTACCCACTGTGCTATTGTTCTAACCCCTAAATGATCATTTTTTTTATTAGTGAAACACCATGAGGTACAGTTGTAGATTTACAATTTTTTGTGCTTGGGTTTCGATTATACAATGATCAGATACCCATCGCTCCACCAGTGCCCATTTTCCACCACCATGGATAATATCCCCCCCACCCCCATCCCCCCATCCCCCCATCCCCCCTGCCTCTGTGGCAGGGCAATCCCCTGTGTTCTCTCTCTCCTTTTGGGTGTTGTGATCTGCAAAAGAGACATTGAGTGGCAAACATGTTCAGTCCATAGTCTACTTTCGACATGCATCTCCCCTCCTGGGAGGATCCTCCAAACACCCTTTATTTGGTGTTCCCTTCTCTATCTGAGCTGCCCTTTCCTCTAGAATACCCGACTGGCCACTAAGCTATGGAGTAATCCTCCTGGTGCTGATCTCAGCTATTCTTGAGTATTAATCTCATATTTTGTTACTTTATATCCCCCAGATGAATGCAATCTTTCTATGTCTATCCCTCTCTTTCTGACTCACTAAATGATCATTTTTAAAAAAATTGAAACATTAGAAAAAATTGAATCACCATGGGATACACAGTTACAAAGTTGTTCATGATTGGGGTTCAATCATACAATGGTCCAGCACCTGTACCTTCACCAGTATACATTTTCTGCCACATACATTTTCTCAGTTTCCCTCCCGCCACTGCTCCCCTCCCCCAGCCTGCCTCCTCTATGGCAGGCACTTCTCTCTCTGTGTGTGTCTCTCTCTCTGTGTCTCTGTGTTGCTGTGTCTCTGTCTCTGTCTCTGTCTCTGTCTCTCTGTCTCTCTCTCTCTCTCTCTCTCTCTCTCTCTCTCTCCTTTTGGGCATTATAATTTTCAGGTACTGAAAGGTATATCCCTTTACCTACTTTCACTTTCAGCACTCAATTCTTGCTCAGAGTGACCATTTTTCAGCTATCATTATCATAGTGGTCCTTTCTCTCTCCTAACTGTCCACTCCAGCTCCCTTCCCCCACCCCCATGCCCACTATTTGTGGCAAGCTTTCAACCATGGACCAGTCCTCCTGGTCTTTGTTGATAGATGATCTTTTGTTTTTATATCAGAGATAAAGAAATTAAGTCACAGAGAAAGTATTAATGGAATTCAAAGCCTGACAGACTAACTGAAAAGCATGTAATATTAACCACTGCACCACTAATGATGCTAAGAATTCATCTTTTTGCAGTGGTTTAAAATCAACCTTATTTTTAGAGTCTTTGTAGTGTCACAGCAAAATTGAAATAAAATTTTAATTACCATTTATCCCCAGCTTCTTCCACTGTTGCATACTCACACCCTTGTGATGCATTTGTTCCACTCAGTAAGCCTACATTGATACGCCATTATTTCCCAAAGTTTATACAGCAGAGTGCTACAGACTATCGATTGGTTTAAGTGTGCAGGGGCATGTATTCATCTTTGTGTATCTTATAGTTTCATTGCCCTCTAAATATTCTGTAATCTGCTGAAACACCCCTTCCTCCCCCAGAACTTTTAAAAACCTCTATTTTTATTATTTTCATATTTCTACCTTATCTGGAATACTATATATTTGCTAACCCTATAATATATAGCCTTTTCAGATTAACTTCTTTCAATTAGTGATTTATATTTGAAGTTCTTTCATGTCATTGCTCAATAGCTTATTTCTTTTTAGTATTGTTTACCATTGTCAGCGAGTGCCATATTTACCCGCTACAGATATTTTGATTGTTTCTAAGTTTTCACAATTATGACATAAGTTTCTATAAATATTTTCATACAGGGTTTTATGTGGGCTTAAAGCTTTTTAAAATAAATTTGTTTATATTCTGTGGTTTACAATACTAGTAATAGTCATTTCTCATGAGCATGATTCTAATACCACACCCATCACCTGTGTTCTCCCTCTTTCTCTTAAGGATCCCAACATCCCTCCCTCCCAACTGCTGCATCTCCAACTCAGTTGTGGATCAGTTCTCCCATTGTGCTCTCTTTTTTGTTGCTATCTTGCTGTGTATCTTTATATACGTGGACTTAAATTTTAATTCATTTGAATAAATACCAAGGAGTATGATTGCTGGATCCTATAGCAAGAGTATGTTTAGCTTTGTCGGGACTGGAGTGATAGCACAGCGGGTAGGGCGTTTGCCTTGCACACGGCTGACCGGGTTCGATTCCCAGCATCCCATATGGTCCCCTGAACATGGCCAGGAGTAGTTCCTGAGTGCATTAACCAGGAGTAACCCCTGAGCATCTCCAGGTGTGACTCAAAAAGCAAAAAAAAAAAAAAAAAAAAAAAAGACTATGTTTAGCGATAGCACAGCGGTAGGGCGTTTGCCTTGCACGCAGCCAACATGGCCGACCCGAGTTCGATTCCTCTGCCCCTCTCGGAGAGCCCGGCAAGCTACCGAGAGTATCTCGCCCGCACGGCAGAGCCTGGCAAGCTCCCCGTGACGTATTCGATATGCCAAACATATATATATCATATATATTCGATATGCCAAACACAGTAACAACAAAGTCTCCAATGGAGACGTTTCTGGGCCCGCTCGAGCAAATCGACGATCAACGGGAGGGCCTTTACCTTTTACCTTGTGTTTAGCTTTGTGAGAAGTTATCAAATGCTCTTCTGAGCCTGCTCTACCGTTTTGCATTCCCTTCAGCAATATTTGAAAGCTCCTATTGTTCCACAGCCTCACCAAAATTTGGTGTTGTCAGTGTTCTGGATTTTTGTCTTTCCAATAAGTATGTATCTCATTATTTCATTTTCCAGTTGGATTTCTAATAATGTGTGATGTTGAAAATTTTTTCTTAAACCTATTTTCCATCAGTATATTTCCTTTTGTAAGGTCTTTTGCTGATTTTTCCTATCAGCTTCCCCATCCCACTCCCAACTCCTTATGGTGTTTTAAGAGTTCTTCATATATTTTGGCCAACATTTGTATCTGTCTATTTTTCTTTTGGGGACACACTTGGAAGTGGTCGGGGCTCTGTAGTCAGGGATCATCCTGGCAATGCTTGTGAGACAATATGGGGTGCTGGGTATCAAACCCGGGTTAGCTGTGTGCAAGACAAATGACCTACCCAATTTACTATCCTTCTAGTTCCAATTCTATAACATTAAACTTGGAAATACATTTGT